TAGTAGAAATGGTTGTCTGATATGGGAATAACCGCACCTGAGACCCTTTATTACAAGATGAACTTAAAAATAATTAAAGACCTCGGGGAAAAACAAGGAACGTACATTTTTGTCTTAAATTAATGTAAAAATGCCATCTGATGGAGAAACTAGCAAAGTTTGTGATGCACAAGTTATCGGTAGGCAATAACAAGCAATGTCAGTTGAAAGCTGACCATAAACTTTGATTATACTTTCTAAGAACCAGAAATGTCCGAGCAGAATTCAGAACAGAACTCCCATATTGCGAGTCTAATCTCGATCAAAATGATCGCACAAAGACGTTCTAGGCAGCCCAATTCCGAGGCAGCGAAACATCACGAATTATCTTTTGGCTATATGGTTAGAGTTTTGAGAGATGCTCAAATGCTAGATCTACCTGTTTGAATCAAATAATTCTGCTCTGATCTAAGAGGTAAGCACTCCAATCGGTCACATAAACTAAGCATTATTACTAAAGATTTATTAAGAACGCACTTGAAGCCAGTTAAGGGCAGATCAAGCCATTATAGTAATAAAAAGATCCACAAGGAAAACAATTCCTGTAGCTGGCTGTATACCACGTATCACAAAAAAGAGGTTAGTCTTCGTAAACAAACGTTTTCGGACTAAACAGTCCATCATCAGGTTTAAAATTTTAAAATTGCCTAAAATAAGTATAAACCATTTAGTTAAAACAAACGTGGTTATGAAATTTTGACTATGGTTAAAAAGCAAAAATGGTTATACTTACAAGGTTATAATGCCTGAGGCACCAAAATACCTGGGTAAAAACCCTTTAAATTACATATAGTTGTAAAAGATTATACATCATGTTGTAAAAAAACTGTGATGTTCAGTATTAAATTAAATTTGACTTCAGGTAACATACATGGCTGAAGTGAGTTCCAGAGCCGGAGAGTAAACCTCTTCAAACGGAGAACAGCTGGTAACTGATGGACAATAATATACCTATGAACGGTGTCGAAAACAAAATGTCAATGTAACATGGAACTGTATTAGTTATACCTAGTATTACTACAGCCAAAAGATTCAAAAAATTATTTTGATGATTTTAAAAAATAATAACAGCAATCTAGGTGTTGGGATTTAAAAACTTTTTATTTATTAATTTGGGGTATAAAAGATGTGAAATCACCGATGGTGTTTAAGAGAATGACCTGTGTATTAGGCAACCTATGTTACTTTTTGTCTTATGGAATGTGGTCTAAAAGTGTATTTTACGAAGACTAACCTCTTTTTTGTAATAAAAAGATATCTAAAATTTACTTCCTGAAGAGTTTAATGTAAAAAAATCTACGAATTATTGCAAGAAAAAAATTCTGAGGTAAAGATTGCATATGATAGCTATTGACAAGAATTTTTCCGAGGTCCGATACATGCAGTGAGTGCCATAAATACCTGGCTGAAGTTACTTGTCTACAAAAACAAGAACACAATCTCGATGTAGAAAGTAAATTAAAATGTTTACACACAGAAAACAACATTCACAAATCAAAGGCCTAGGTTTTTTATGATCGAAAGAAGGAGGCAAAAAGGTTTGCTAGACGTAACAAGGGATATGAAGTTCTGGTCATGGACTACCAAAAAAATGTCTTACTTTCACACATTAGCATAAACTATGTGTACTACAGAAGACATTTGTCAATGTTTTCTTTTAATATTCATGTGTGTCTTTTACCGGTAAATCTACTTTCTACACTTATCCTGAGACCATAGCATAAAAAAGGTTCAAACAAAGTTAAATCTTTCGTAAATCATTTCATCATGAATCAGTTAGACAAACAAGTAAGAACCGTAAACAATTTTTGTGACTCAGCAGGGGACCAGAATAAAAATTACAATATGTAACAATAAAACACTTTGTTTTCAAACTTCCACAAAATTTATTTTAAATCTTATCACTACAGCTGTTTCGGCTGATAGCCTTTCTCAAGTGATCTATTTTTGGCTTGCGTTTACAAATTTATAGTCTCTAATGAAATAGGTTGAGGAGGGGAGAACTGTTTGTCTCAAGTTGGTCATTCAGAATTATATCTGTGTTTTTTAATTTGTTGATTTCCATAGATTCTAACAAAGATAGCTTAAGGCCTTTATTTTGAATGTGAAGAATTTTAAATTTGTCATTAAAAGAATGATTATGATCTAGAAGGTGAAGTGCGTATGTCGAATCTGTTTTTCTATTCTTGAAAGCCCTTTTATGTTCTGCTATTCGTTTCTCAAAGTTTCTACCAGTTTGACCGATGTAAGTTTTTGGGCAGTCGCCACATTGAAGTTTATACACACCACTATTTTGGCTGTTGTTATTTTTAATATATTTACCTAGGTTGTTATTTGTTCGGAAAGCTGGTGTTATTCCTTTCTTTTTTATGTATTTGGCAATTTTTGTTGTTATTTTGCCTGTATATGTAATCGAGCAGAAGGTACTGGGTTTTTTCTCTGGTGGTGGAAATGCTAATTTCAGGGCTTTCTTATGTAGTTTTTGATTTAACATTTTATTAATTGTTTGTTCGTTGTATCCGTTGTTTACTGCTATTTGCTTAATTATATTTAATTCTGTCTCAAAGTTGTCTTTTGACATCGGAATTTCTGTTAATCTATGTAACATACTATGATAAGCTGCCAGTTTATGTTGTGTTGGATGGGATGATGAGTTGTGTATAGTCGTGTCAGTATGGGTAGGTTTGTGAAATATGGAGAAGTCATGTATGTTTTGAAGTCTGCTAATTTTTAAATCTAAAAAATTTATGCATTGATTTTGTTCTGTTTCTATTGTAAATTCAATATGACTATAAAGTGAATTAATATACGATGAAAATTGGTCGAGTTGCCTGTTAGTTCCTGTGAAACATACCAGTACGTCGTCTACGTATCTCCACCAATATAAAAACTGTTTGAATACGGGATGTTTTGAAATCTTTGTCTCTAGATGATCCATAAAAATATCTGATAGCAATGGGCTTAGAGGATTACCCATTATAAGTCCTGCACTGTTATTTGTATATATTTTATTATTAAATTCAAAGTAGTCCTGGTTTATGCAAACTTCAAGAAGATGTAATATTTCAGATGTAATTACTGGATTTGTACTATTTTGGTCTAAAAGGTTTTTTACTAGAATAAAAGTTTCTGTAGGAGGGATACTAGGAAAAAGATTTTTTACGTCAAATGAAATTAATCTGGAGTTGTTAGGTAATTGAAAATGTTGTATTTTATTAACTAGTTCTATTGTATTTTTTATGGTGAATTTAGGTGAAAATTTAGTGTGTTCTAAAATAATCTCTAACAGTTTTTTGGAAAGTTTATATGACGGAGCTGTATAAAAAGAAACTACAGGTCTTATTGGGTGATCCGGTTTGTGTAGTTTAATGAAAGAGTATAATTTAGGAGGCTGTGGGTTCATGATATTGAGGTATTTCTGTTCTATTGGATTTAGTATTGCTTTTGAATTTTCTAACGCTAGCTTAATTTGTTTTTGATATTTTTCTGTCGGATCTTTGTGTAAAGTTTCAATATTTTGATTATTTAAGAATTCTATTGTTCATCGTACAATTTTCATCGTATATTAATTCACTTCATAGTCATATTGAATTTACAATAGAAACAGAACAAAATCAATGCATAAATTTTTTAGATTTAAAAATTAGCAGACTTCAAAACAAACATGACTTCTCCATATTTCACAAACCTACCCATACTGACACGACTATACACAACTCATCATCCCATCCAACACAACATAAACTGGCAGCTTATCATAGTATGTTACATAGATTAACAGAAATTCCGATGTCAAAAGACAACTATGAGACAGAATTAAATATAATTAAGCAAATAGCAGTAAACAACGGATACAACGAACAAACAATTATAAAATGTTAAATCAAAAACTACACAAGAAAGCCCTGAAAATAGTATTTCCACCACCAGAGAAAAAACCCAGTACCTTCTGCTCGATTACATATTCATTCAAAATAACAACAAAAATTGCCAAACACATAAAAAAGAAAGGAATAACACCAGCTTTCCGAACAAATAACAACCTAGGTAAATATATTAAAAATAACAACAGCCAAAATAGTGGTGTGTATAAACTTCAATGTGGCGACTGCCCAAAAACTTACATCGGTCAAACTGGTAGAAACTTTGAGAAACGAATAGCAGAACATAAAAGGGCTTTCAAGAATAGAAAAACAGATTCGACATACGCACTTCACCTTCTAGATCATAATCATTCTTTTAATGACAAATTTAAAATTCTTCACATTCAAAATAAAGGCCTTAAGCTATCTTTGTTAGAATCTATGGAAATCAACAAATTAAAAAACACAGATATAATTCTGAATGACCAACTTGAGACAAACAGTTCTCCCCTCCTCAACCTATTTCATTAGAGACTATAAATTTGTAAACCCAAGCCAAAAATAGATCACTTGAGAAAGGCTATCAGCCGAATTTCCATCAAGTAACGGTCGAATCCATCAAAATTACAATATGTTTAAATATCTGCATTTTCTTGTTCATACATTAAAACGATTGTAATAATAAGGAATGTCATGACATACCTTGTTTTTCACGAGTATAAAATACTCCTTTTTTCCAAAGTACATATTGATTTAGCTACAAGTAAAATAAATACCTTTTTATTATTTAACCTCATTACGAAATATACTAACAATAAAGAGTTTAACATAGATCGCAGATATCCCTTTAAAATAATGAGTTACACAATTACAAATATTAAACTTCAATTTTCTCAAATTTAACTTTGAGGGACATTTCTTCTTAATTCCCCTAGGTCTTCAATTAAAAAAAAAAAAAATAAACAGAAATCGATAAATATGAATATTTGGGAATGGATATAACAGACCATGTCCAAAGGAATTATTCTATGAAAGATAGAAATAATCCATGTACAAAGCAATAAAAAGCTTCATTATATTTTACTCTATGTAACTTACTTTTACAACTGATCTGTTTTCCATCACTGCAATTTACCTCATCTGATTTATCTCTACAATCATTATCGCCATCGCATCGGAATGATGAATATATACATTGTCCGTCTTCGCATTGAAATTGTCCTTCAGGGCAGATTGGAAGAGGGCATTTAGCTTCGTCGGACCCATCTAGGCAATCTATATCACCATCACATCTGCAACAAATAGTTCAATCAAGGTAAATTAGCACGTGGTCAATAAACCTGGCAAATTAGAAACAGATGTAGGTACAGTTCACCAATAATAGCTGAAAGTCTGAAATTCTAACTGCCTGCGCGAATAATAAAGTGAGAACGCACTCAGAAGGAAAATGATAGCCTGTACGCGCGGGTAAACTTTAAAATATAGGTACAATCGGAGACACAAATATAGAAACGTAAAGTTTAAATAGTTTCTAATAGTGAAATCGTAGGCTTCCACGGCCAGAGTCAGAATTATAGTTTATTCGTCTTCCGGGTTTGGACTGTGTCATTTGTGAGTGACCCAAAAGTGGGTTCATCTCGACGTTTCGCTACAATTGTATGTAGCTTCTGCAGGAGAACAAAGAAAAAGAAAAAGAAGAAGAAGACAGGAAGATGGGTAGTTAGCAACGGTAACTCAGTTACTCAACGCAACCAGAGGCGAATACTAACTACCAAGATGGGCATTTGGTCACAGTAACTCAACTACTCAACGCAGCCAGAGGTGAAAACCAAATGCCAGGACAGGGATTCACTTCCAACAGCTCAGAACACTAACGCGTCGAGAAGCGGGGATGGCCTGGCGGGGAGGCCCTGTCCTGGCATTTGGTTTTCACCTCTGGCTGCGTTGAGTAGTTGAGTTACTGTGACCAAATGCCCATCTTAGTAGTTAGTATTCGCCTCTGGTTGCGTTAAGTAACTGAGTTACCGTTGCTAACTACCCATCTTCCTGTCTTCTTTTTCATTTTCTTTTTCTTTTTCTTTGTTCTCCTGAAGAAGCTACATACAATTGTAGCGAAACGTCGAGATGAACCCACTTTTGGGTCACTCACAAATGACACGGTCCAAACCCGGAAGACGAATAAACTATAGTTTCTAATATGTCCTGTACACAATTATTATTACTGTCATTACTTTTCTTCTATATATTTCAATATATTTGTGGTATTTGTTCTACAAAGTGAAATGAAAAAAAATAGATCCAACAAAAACCGCTTGTGTTGCTATAAATTGTGACATTAGAAACCAAAAATTATTGTATAATATAGTGTAATAAAGTGTAGAGAATTACCAGACAAGGAGAAGAGAAGAGAAGAAAATACACAGAATGAAGAAACGAAACCACTTAAAAAAGGAAATTCAATATATAGAAAACCTCAACAGAGAGAAATAATTCAGAACATTCTATAAGAAAGTTAACAGAAAATAATTCAAGGCAAACACAAATCAATGTAGAAGTTTTAATGGCGATCTATTAACAACAAGAACAGACCTACTAAATCGATGAACGGAATATTTTAACCAGATACTTAATATAGAGAAAGAAGAAGAAAACTCGGAAGACGAGAGCTGTGAGGTAAGCGGAGCAGACGAAAGGGAGGAGGATCCACCAACGATCCTGAAAGTTGAAGACGTTGAAAACAAACTAGCTAGAAACAAATCACCCGGAATAGATAATCTCCCAGCGAAATTATATAAAGAAGGTGGCCACGATATCATAATAGTACTACAGCAGTTTATAAAAGAAACATGGATACAGAAGTCCCTTCCCAGTGATTGGAATATTTTGCACCATACACAAAAAGGGAAATATCTTTGAATGCTCTAACTATCGAGAAATTACGCTCCTAAATGCAGCGTATAAAATATTCTCCAATATACTATGCCATCGTATGGCACCATATCCAGAGCGAATAACAGGACAATACGAGGCTGGTTTCAGAGGTGGTAAATCAAGAATTCATCAGATTTCAACCCTGAGACAAATTCTAGAGAAAACACTGGAATACGGTGTAGACACGCACCACATATTAATAGACTACAAGGCAGCCTACGACTCTGTGAATAGAAGAGAATTATTTAGAGCAATGATAGACCTAGGAGTATCAAATCAGTTGGTAAGTCTAACCAAACTAACCCTTGAAAAAGTTGAATGCAGAGTACGAATCCAGGGGGAACTCTCTGAACCTTTTAAAACAAATACCGAGCTACGTCAGAGAGACCCACTCTACTGTAGACTATTCAATCTAGCTCTGGAAAAAGTAATACGTACGTCACAAATTACAACTACTGGTTCAATATATAACAAATCCGTGCAAATCCTAGCATATGTTGATGATATCAATATTGTTGGGAGAACGGAAAACGCAGCACGAGAGGCGTACGTAGCACTAAATGAAGCGGCTACAAAAATAAGTTTAATAATAAACACCAATAAAACGAAATACATGAAAATAGGTACGCAACCACAAGTACTACGGCCACTTGTTATAGAAAACGACGTCATCGAAGCAGTTAACGAATTTGTATACCTGGAAACGCTCGTCAATACTGAAAATGACACTACCGCAGAGATAATCCGCAGAACTTGCACGTCTCATAGATGCTATTTTGGGCTTATTCTCCTTTTTAAATCTACAGTTATATCAAGAAATACAAAAGTAAAACTCTACGAAACAATAATACTCCCAGTCCTAACATATGGTTCAGAAACCTGGACTTTAACAAAAACCAATGAAAACATGTTAGGATATTTCGAAAGAAAAATAGTAAGGCAAATCTATGGAGCGGTAAATGAAAATGGTGTCTGGAGAAGACGATACAACTTCGAACTCTATAGAATATACCAGGAATCAGATATCGTAAAACACATTAAGATGTGGTACGTCTGAGGTGGGTAGGCCATGTAATGCGGATAGAGCAAACTGACCCAGCTAGAGAAACGCTCCTTGATAGACCTATTGGTCAAAAAAGAAGACGAAGACCCAGAATACGATTCCTAGATAACATATACCAATATATGAGAAATATGGAAATACGTGCTTGACGGAGGAAGACGAAGGGACGACTGGAAAAAAATTCTTGGGGAAGCTAGGACCCACTCAGGGTTGTAAAACCAAAATGATGATGATCTCGCTAGGTTATAGAATGTTGCTGTAGATCAGAACGGTTGAATCTGTTCGCATATGCAGCCACTTCCATTGGATAAAATAGTACCTATACCTTCTCTTCCATGCATAAAAAGTTGTTACATATCTGGTTTTAATATGGCATTCATTATAGAAATTTTTTTCCTGAATTATTTAGTGGACTCCTTAAAAATGGCATCATTGTATAATTAGAATCGCCAAGTAACAACCCATTTCTAATATTTCCATTTGAACTTTTTTAAACTATCAAGGCTATGTGGAGAAAATGCCGGCGTTGGGGGTGGAATTATTGGTGATTCCACGTGCTTTTAATATGGTACGAACTTATACCGCCGGTATTCTCTGGGGTGTTTGAGTGGACTGTATTATTTTGAGTGTCTATTGTACGTAAAGAATACGAGTAACTTGTAGCTAATATTTATTTCTCTACGTATTATACTTAACACAAAAACACAATATACAACGGGTACAATATATAATATACGTGGTTACACAAAGTTATGGTTCACAATCGCGGAGACAACTTTTCTTATTGCTAACCACTTGATGAGATAGACACGCTCTGAGAATCGCAACTCACAAAATCACAAATTTTTGTATTAAAAGCACCATCCGTCTTCCCGGGGGTTACTAGCAGAGAGAGTGGCTTTATCTTTCTTCGACAATCGGTCGCCGAAATCGGGTACTAAGTAATTGTTCATAGGGTCCGAGTACCGTTAGAGATTATCCAGTACCGTTAGAATTTATTTGTAAGGTATTGGAATGAATGGGCGTCTTGGCCTACAGGGTGGAGTAAAGTTAATGAACAAGGGGAAATATACTATTTTGAAAATTACAGGGTTGTAAACAAAATCAGTTTACAACCATACTGCCCCCAGAGAAATGTCTAGTATCTTGTAGCCTTATTTTTACTATAAGGCGGAAGAAGGATCAAGAACATGCGTTGAGGTCTCATCTGGAGGTAAGGGGATCAGTTTAGTGATAGGGCGAATAAACGTTCCACTTTTCGTGCGAACTTGAACTGCTCGAACGTTGTGGTCTTTTCCTTCATAAACTTCGGTCACCCGAGCTAATGGCCACTGTAAGGGAGGGTAGTCAAGGTTTTTAACCAATACTAAATCGCCGACTTTAATATTAGGAGTTACGTGAATCCATTTGGGTCGGTTTTGGAGCCGATTTAGGTAATCCGAGGTCCAACGCTTCCAAAAGAGTTGCTGAACTCGAGTGCACTGCTGCCAGCGCTTCAGTCGATTATTCGGAGTGCATGAAATATCTACCTCTGGATAAGATAACAGGGGAGCACCTATTAAGAAGTGTCCTGGAGTAAGAGGCTGTAGGTCTAATGGATCAGTAGACAATGGGAATAGAGGGCGAGAGTTAAGAACGGCCTCTACTTGAGCAAGAATAGTGCAGAATTGTTCAAAAGTATATACAGAGTTACCGGTGATTTTAATCAAAAGTGACTTAGCACTTTTAATTGAGGTTTCCCATAATCCACCCCAGTGTGGGGATCTGGGAGGAATAAATTTCCAAGTGACATTTTGAGAAGCAAGGAACTCGTGCAACACATGAGGCTGTGTTGAGAAATGTTTTCTAAGAAGAGTGAGATGGTTATTGGCACCGACAAAATTAGTTCCATTGTCACTGTAAATAATGGATGGGATACCACGTCTAGCTATGAATCTTTTAAGACAAGCCAGGAAGGCGTCTGTCGTGAGGTCAGACACTGCTTCTAAATGGACTGCTTTGGTAGCTAAGCATACAAACAATGCTATGTAACCTTTAGATGTAGGGGCTCTTCTCAAGGAAGAGGACTTTATGCAAAAGGGACCTCCAAAATCTATTCCTGTATTTTCAAAAGGTCTTTTCGATGTGACTCGTTCACGAGGGAGATCTCCCATAATTTGGGTTGAGGCGATGGCATTAAACCTAAAGCAAGTGTTGCATGAGTGTATTATACGTTTTACACACCTAAGTCCGTCAAGGGGCCAATATCTTAAGCGGACATTGTTTAAGGTGGTTTGAGATCCTGCATGTCCCAGACGC